CGTGAATAAAGACATAACAGTAACATTCCCATAAAACAGATGCAGAAAGACTCAAAACTGCGTAAAGTGTGGGCAATAGCAAAGCCGGGATCGTTAGCCAACTTGCGCCTTGAGGACGAAATACTCTCTCCTCCTCCGGCACACCATGTACAAGTCAAAGTTCGTGCTATAGGACTTAATTTTGCTGATATATTTGCCATTTTAGGACTCTATTCCGCTACTCCCAAGGAGAGATTCATACCGGGATTCGAGGTTGCTGGCATAGTAGAAGCGGTTGGGGCGGGAGAAGAACAAAGTCAATGGTTAGGCCAGAGGGTGTATTGCACCACACGCTTTGGAGGATACGCGAATTATATCAATGCCGACGTTCGTTATGTTAAAATAACTCCAGACTCGTGGACTGATCAGGAAGCATGTGCTTTTACGGTTGGTATCTGTTAGTAACAGTATCAAGCTTATGTTATAATCTTTGGTCCAAGTTTTTAGCACTGATATGGATTGTATATTAAGGGTCAAGGAATGACAGCATTCTACGCTTTACGCGAGCTCGGAAATCTATACACGCAATATAAGAATCCTCGTCAAAAGACTGTGCTTGTACATTCAGCAGCCGGAGGCGTAGGTCTGCTCGCACTCGCCATACTCGCGAAAGCATCTGCAAAAGTTGTCGGAACAGTGGGTAATCCTAGCAAGCTCGAACTCCTCGACTCAAAGTATGGCGACAATCCCAACTTTAAATTTATCCTTCGATCTCCTGCTCGAGATTTCGAATCGCGCGGAAGAGATGCACTACACGCCGTAGATCCAGATGCAGATGGGTTTGATATCGTGTTGGATAGTATCATGGGAGATTGGTTCTGGCCAAATCACAATTTGCTGAATAAGGCGGGTCGTCATATAGTCTTTGGATCAGCTAGCTTTACTCCGAGCCAGACCGCTTTGAGCATTATGGAGTGGCTAAAGTTGGCGTGGAAGTCGTTATGGAAACCAGTGTTGGACCCCATGTGTTTAATCAAGAGTAACAAATCGGTAAGCAAACTTTCAAATTTACCTCTTCGTTTGTAAAGAAAAGAATGCGATATATTTATTTCCATTTGTTTTTCTTGATGCGTCATTAGGTTCTTGGATTCAATCTTATCCATATTTATGATCAAGACGACGTACTCAATTCCATATTCGACGACTTGAATGGTTTGCGTCTGGATCCGCCTCACGTTGGACACGAGCTTTCTTTTGAAAATGCACATGAGGCAATATCACTATTACAGTCAGGCAAAACCATTGGTAAAGTAGTGCTTACAGTCGATCATTGATGCATATCAATTGGTACTTTGTTCTTGTCAGATATTTGTGATCATGGCAGACCTACGTTAGTATTTTAATTCATAAATGTCTGCAAAATTGTAACATTGGCAAATCGCCTCTCATGTATTCACAAAGTATTTTCCCCGACTAAATAAACATATGAGAGTTTGGTGGCAGTGACGGAGAAAAGAAAACTTATTGTATTACACGTTTATTCACGCATCCATTTTTCCTTGTTCCGTAAAGCAATATACTGTGTAGTGTGTTGCAGGGTTTAACTGTATTCTTGGCGATCAATAAGTGATACGCGTGTTGTATTAAGTTTCACGTGTAACTACGATTGTTATATGTTTACAGCACGCATTTTATATGCTTTATAAATGAGACATATCATAATAATATATTATTCTACCATTCATTTTTTGTATTAGCAAATACCTACCAACTATGTAATGTTACTGCCGATGGTGGTACCAACTCAAGGATTCATACGGCATGATGATGTTGATTAATTAACAAGTCTTGCCGGGAAGTCTACGAGTTTGTCGTGTCTTTGACGATAATTCTGTTTAAAAAACAACAGAGTTTGTTGTAAAAATATTTGGTCCAAGTTGGTAGCATTGCCTTTCTAATAGTTCTTCAGTTAAAACTTATCAAAGCGTGAATCACGCTATAATACATTTGCTGGTAAGAATACTGATTATTTTGGTAAAATAAAAATTATTGTTAACAAGGTGTATATTAGCAATAAGACACAGTCTATTAAACTCGGCTTTCTCATGTATCTGCTAATTGTCACATATGGACAACCACCTGCTCTTGAAAGAGCTTTTTTTTTTTTGTAAATTTTGTCTTCTAACGCTTTCTAGTCACGCTTCTATGCACAGCCCATAAAGACCAGGTAAAGTAAGATTAGAACTCTAAAAACTTACGAGCTGACAAATTATTGACCCAAATTCGTATCTTTCGAAGTCACA